GTTTGCATTGCCAGCAAGAAGCACTTGAGCTTTGGTGGCCCTCACTGACCTGTCTAGGCAATGAAGTGCCTGAACAGTGGCTGCACACAATCTCTCCAAGACTCCCAGAATCTCCTTCAGAATCCAACATGTTACAGGGAATATTTTCAATGTTAGAAACATGACTTGGGATCTTAAAGGCTCAAATGTTAAAAAAAATTGCCCTTTGCTTGTAGAAGTCATGTAAGAAAAGTGCATTTGCTATCCACTTACAGCAGGACGATGAGACACTCACTGTTGTTAGATACTCCAATACCTTGGGCAAAAAGTAGCGTGAACCAAGGACTTCTTTTCCCAGTGCTTCCGCATTCAATGGGATTTCTACGTCAGATGTATCAATTTTAATTCTGACCTTTGCTAACTGCCCACAGCTTGATTTTTTGCACCCTCAGCATTCCTTCAATTTGGGAGTACGAAATATATACAAACATGTAACCATCTACTATGCACCACATTTTTGATAAACATACATTTTTCTTACCTCACCTAAGGCTCTTCTTGCAATCGAATGAAGGAGAACAAAATATTTTGACATCTCGAAATACATTCTCTTCTCCAGGAGGGCAAATAAATAGACCTGACATAAAATAATGTCATAACAATCAGCAACTACAACTCGATTCTCGCTGCTGTAACTTGAAACTCATAAGAGAAGGTTAAAGTAACCCAAGTCTGAATGCCTGGCCACTAAGAAAGCATCAATTCCTTCTGTGTTGGGTTTTTCTGTAAGGCTAATCCTATTTGGGACAACCTCTGAGCTAAGTAAAATAGCAAAGTATTTCCCCAAAATGCTTAAGGAAATTTGATGATTGGAAATTGGCCTCATTGACTACCTCTAAGCAATAAGAAACTGGAGCAGGTAAAACTACAGACTGAGGAAGGTGCTTGGACTCTGAGGGAAGAAGAAAATCAAGCTACTTTCAGAAGAAGTCTGGTTACCAGGAGAAAACTAGGAGTCTACAAAAGGATAATGGGCCTGAGAAGAGTGATGAGAAGACTGGGGAAGAACCCCAGGCTGCCAGAGAGAAAAAATGAGCAGTTGAAGAAAGACTCAGAGAACTTACAAAGCGAGGCCTGGGGCTAATCTTTCTGCTAGTTTATTTTTTTTCCCCATTTGTTTATTTGCTACAAGTCAGATTTTGGAGCAATTAGTAAAATATCATGCAAATATTCCCTGTGTGACTGAACATGAATAACTTTAATTTCACTAAACATTTGTCCCATCGTTCCGAAATACATCTGCTGTTTGCATTAAGATAATCTGCTAAAATACTGGGAAGTAAATTACAGTTTTATAAGATATTTATGAAACAACTTCTTATTTGTATATTAAATATCTCTGCCTATCACGGCGTGCTTCGTTGGCTGATGTCTGCCTTTGCCGGGTGCATCCGTGCCCTGTTTCAATTACAGACTGGGCTAAGTACCATCTTGTGGAAAAGCTCCAACTGGCTGGGAATGGCTCAGCGTACACTCATTGCAGGCTGAGGGAATAGTATCAGATCTGCCATCAGCGTATGACAGAAAAAAACCAACAATCCCAAAACAAAATACAAGATTGCACATGTGCATAAATCGAGCGGTACTTGCAGAAAATCTAGCATGACACTGCAGGAGTGTGTTTCACTCCTCTCAGCGTGCTGCAAGAAATGCCCTTATGCAGAGACAACAATAAGGCTTGAAGGTTGCACCCAGTCCCTGCTTGGTGACCACACACTATATCGGGAAGTAAATTAAAAGCATTTTTCACTGTTTCATCCTCTCAGGGTTGTCCCTTTCTCTTTGCAAGCAGGGAAGTCCTAAGTAGTTGGGGAGAAAAGCATTGGTTAGTGTTGCCACAGCCCAGATGACTGTGTAGCCCTGTTCCCAAGTTTTCAAAGGAGATGTGGAAAAGCAGGTCATTTGTCATCTTCCAGTAATGTGAGTGGGCCAGGATTGGTAATGATAACCCTAAGGGCTGCACTCTGTGGGGGGGGAGACAACGTGGTTCAGAAAGGTGGAGGATGGAAAACAAACAGATCTCTGTGCTGAAGGAGCTGGAGGAGATTGCTGCTGTACAGTCAGGGATGTATCTGCACTAGCTTCAAGCATGGACAGATTGAGCTCAGGGTTGGCAATGAAACCCTCCTGAGATGCAGATAAACCCTAGGTCACTGCCATTGCTTGCTCTAGACAGGATCTGCATTGCTGGCAGCATCCAAGCCACTTCAGTTTAAGTTAGTTCATGTGTAGCTGCATGAACTTCAGCCACACAGTTACGTCTACGTCCCTCTTAGAACCCAGCCCAGAGTGCACAGGAGTTGCCACAGCCCCACAGACAATGAGCAGCGAGGCTGTGTGAGGTCTATGAAGCCATCGAGGAGTTTATTGATCCTCCAACCTTTTTCGACTATCTGGGGCCCTGTGGATGGGCACTGGCTGCAGATTCCTTGACTGGACACAGAGCATAGCTGGCTTGGAAGGTTTTGAGGATTCAGTTCTCTGATTAGCATTGTCTTAATTTACATTCCCTGCAAAGCTGCTCCATCCCTAGTCCAGAGGTTAAAATTGAGTGCCCAGTTTAAAAGTGAATGGTGTGAATTGAGAAGAGGGAAGAAGAAACCCAAGGCACTGGGGTTTGCATTTAGATGATCTAAAGTTTGAATGAAGAAGTCTGGGAAAGAAAAAAGGAGACTGAAACACTTTAACACCAGTTGCCATCTTAACCCACAAATCCCTCTGGTTTGGTATTAACATTACCTACATGAAGTCAAGCTTGAAAAGTAATAGAAGGGTGGTGTAAACCAGCTTGCCCTCTTCTTTCTTGTGTCCCATGCAGCACCTCTATTGCTGTTGCACAGCCACACACCACACTGGCCAGAGACCCTTGAACTGATGCAACAGGATGGGGAAGCAAGTAGGAAGGGTGCATGTTGGCATGGATCAGTCCCCAAATACTACAGCAAAATAATGCCAACCTGGGGTTGGGTTGGTGGGTTCAGGCTGCCTCACTGAGGTATATCAGTGCCCATTTGCTGTGCTGAGCCCTGCCTGCTGCGCTGGCTTCACGGAGCCAAGGGCTCTGGCAGGGACCACACCGGCAATTGTGCAATCCTGCTCAGCCGCAGATTTCCTCTGGCACCAGCAGCACAATAGCAGGCCTGTTGGTAAACAGGAATTGTTTCCTTGCCACAATAGGAGTCGGGATGAAATCATTCACTGATACCAAGCAGCCTCGACGTGCCTCCTCTGCTCCCCACCCTGGTTTAGATGGTAGCGCCTTCCTGCTCCCCCTGGGCCTTGAGTCCCTCATAAAACAACAACACAGTAAAACAAAATAATAATGGAATCCATATAAGGCTTGATGTCTTCATTGCTCTGCAGAAAAAGCACCAAGGGAGCTCTGCCTGAATATGGGCAGCAGGTTCCCAGCACCAGCAAGGATTTTTTAAAAGGAGGAAAGGACATTTTTCAAGCTCCGGATGCCAGTATCCATCTTGCCCATCCTCAGCTCTACGTCTCCCACAGAAGGAAACAGGTCATTATGGGAGATGAATCCCTGGGTCTGGCAGATATACATGGAGTTAAGCGCACCTGAACATCTAGGGGCTGTGTGGGAAGGGTGACAAATGCTGACAGCCAAAACAAGAAGGTTTTGGCTGGGCTGGCCCATTCCCCGCATCCCCCTTCCTGGCAGCATCAGGGACTGTTGGGCTCTCACAGAACATTTTGTGGTCAGGGTAATTGCATTGTTGTCTTAAAACTGTCGAGGCGTGCCCCTAAATAAAACCAGACCCCAGCCCCATTGCAAGCCCAGCAGCCCCCAGCTCCCTGCGCGTGCGGTCTGACGCATGGCCCCGTCCAGCCTCCCTGCCCTGCTTGCATTTCAGTGGCATGGTTATTAATGAATTGGTAATTGCATAGGGGGGGGCAAAGGTAAACATATGATTTGGGACAAATATATACATGTCATACATATACATATACACACACACACTCTCATATCTACATGTATTTTTTGGTCGATGGTGTCCTAGAACCCAAAAGCACGATTTAATTATTTGTGTTGGGAGTGCCAAAGAAACCTACCGTTTATTTATACAGTTAAATCAGCTGCAGATGTGTGTGTGCCTTTTCTTTCGTTCTTTCTTTCCTTCAGTGTTGGCATTTCTGACATTTCACTATGTTTTTTTCCCCTCTCTCATTCAATGAGGGCATCTGAAAAGCATTGGGAAATGGCCCGCTGGTCCCTCCCTGATCATGTCCACAGGGATGGGCATCCCATATTGCTCTCACAGGGCTGTGCTTTCCTCCTGCCCCAAAGCAAAGGCTTGACAAATTAAGACCTCAAGCTCCACGAATTGATAGGAAAAGGAAAGTTCCATGTGCCACACAGGCTCAAGAATGCTCCTTTGGTGAGGGAAGCAACGCAGCTGAGACTCCACAGCTCACTGCACCCGTGGGCATGCGCAAGAGGAACCAAGTACAGGGGAAAGGAGCATCACACTGCTTCTTGAGAAGCCCAGCAAAATTTTGGTCCCTGTGAATAAGCTTCCTCTCTCCATTTTCTTAAGCCCATAGGATACTATGTGACCTCTGTTTTTCATTTTTCAGGGCAGGGAGAATATAGAGCATTTGTCTGAACCTGGTGCCTGGGAGGGCTCTGCCTAGGCTGTCACTGTGACTTGCTTGCATCAGCCTTGTTTGGTGGTTTAGGATTACCCCCATGAAAACCAGGCTTGGCATTGGCTTTCAGCATTAGGCAGGTGATGCAGCAGAGATGCCTGCTTGATTTTTTAATAATTACTCTAATCATATCTCCCGCTCCCCCCCACCCCCAATGATCTTTCTTTTCTTGAATGAAATTCACAGGAGCAAGGTACCAGCCGCTCCAAGCAGCATGCCAGCAACTGCCAGCAGAAATCAGGACAAATATTGCTCTACCCCTTTTGGCAGGAGAAGGCAATCTCTTTCTGTTTTACCTGGAAGACAGTCATCAAGGCTTAGTAGCCCCAGGAAGCAACGTAACACTGCAGCCAGAAAATGCACTTCAGAATCTTTTGGCAGGAGACTGATATTTCCTAGTATCATTCTGGATGCTTAAATGATGTGATAATAACCGTATTAGAAGCATTTAGGATATAGGACTATTATCAAATGATTCATTTCTAAACTTTCAAACCTACCTAAAGCTGACATTCACATGTTTAAACCCCACTTGCTGTCAGAGGGTGAGAAATGCTGTGGGTGTTGGGTGCTGGCTGCACCCCCCGGGCTGCTCCTGACAACCCTCTCCACCCCACTGAGGCAGCCTGGCCACTTTTTAAAGCCAAAGACCATCACTCCAAGGACATTTCCAAGCACTACTTGTGGAAATCCTCTTGGCTAGCCGGTCACAATGCCACTGAGACAGTCTCTTTCGATTCACCCATGTATGAGGATAACTTTGCTGCAATTATTGACTATATTATATAAACTGGCTTACCCAGTATTATCTGAAAAGGTACAATACCTATAAAACTGTTCCATATAAACATTTGTATATATGCAAAGCCTCAAGATGTACTTAAATATGTATAGTTATTATATTTTGTTATGTATCTACATTATACAGATTGTTCTTTTTTAGGTTATCTCATAAAGATGTATAGAAGCCTAGGCATACATGCATATGTATGTATGCATACATAGGTATAGCATGTTTATTCAATACTAAGCAATTTGTCTATAAATATATATGTACACATGTATGCATATGTATGTACCTACTGATTTATACACACACGTATGTATGTGTATATATATATGTATACTTATCTATATGTAAAGGCACATGCTGGGTATATAAAGATGACTGACTACTATACCAGAACACTGTTTTGAGGCAAGCTGAATCCCACGATACAGTCTATGAGGCTTCACAACAGCTCCCAGGCTAGACATGTAAGCAAGTCCACTTAGACATAACAGCATTCTCCCTCTTACACATTATGAGCCACTTTCATTAAAATTCAACACTTCTTTTAAGAGGCTTTTCCTGCAGCCACTACTCCCAAACTTGGTTTCTCTCCAGCTCTCAGTAAAGCCACCAGCTCCTCCTGAGGCAAGGGCAGCATAACCAAACCAGATCTGGTTAGCCAGTATAAAGCACTGATGGCTAGCTTTATTGCCGTTGAGCTGGCATATCCAGAAGACATGAAATACAATTATCCCTAAAATGACTTTTTACATCTTATTCTCTAGGACATGCATCGCAATGAGCATGCAGGTTTCCTAGCAGTTCACTGAGCCAATTAATCTATGTATTCTTTGTGACTTTTGAATGTATAAACCAGCTTGTCTGATAGCTGATGGTGGCCTTGCTTCACAGTGCTTTGGCACCTCCCCGGCATGCCTCGGAGGCTGCTGAGGAAAGGGGCCTGGACCACAGCGCTGCAAGACACCACAGTGCCATTTTGAATGACAATATTTATTCCTGACGTTTTGCTACAGGGGCAGGAAAAAAGAAACAAACAAAAAAAAGGGCAAAAAAGCAAAAGCTGGCCGTAATTCAAAGTCTCTGCAAAGTCACTGGGAATCTTCCAGAAGGCTTCAGCGAGAGCAGGATTAGCTCCCCCCCATATATACATAAAATTTGTTGTCTTTTGCATATCAAAGTGGTGAAGCCTCTGTTCTCTTCAGCTGTTGCTTTTAAGTGTGCTATAAATGGAGCCTTATCTGTCCAGCAAAAAAAAAAAGGCTTTGACAAGGAAGACTAGCTCAGATGCCGAGACAAACTTGGCCACGTTCCTTCAGCAAGAGCAAAGCCAATAAAGATACGGGCTGGTCTCTAGATGCTGTCGATGGATGATTGTTCAAAAACTCTCACTGTGTCCCTGTTGTTGTTTACACCAGTAAACCCTTCGTCATCCCCTTCTCTCCACACTTACCCTCCCTCCCACATGTGCAAGGCTGTCACATTGCACACAGGGTGCAACGGGCTCAGATGGCTCTGTATTCCTCCTGGTTACAGTAGCAGACACTAAAGAACCTACAAAAGCAAGAAAAATAAAGTTGGAGAAAGGAAAAATTCCCAAGCCTTTGTGCTTGTTGAACTGAGCAGATCCACTCAACAATTCCTCACATTCCACCTTCTATTCTCCCTGAACTCAGACAAGTCTCTGTAGACCAGATATGACTTTACCTACTATGTAGTTTCTGTGGATTTTTCTGCAGCCCCCCTCTCTCCTGGGGAGTTGTTTGTTAATGCTTGTGTATCCCATTAATACATTAATACATGCTGGGAATCTGGTCAATAATTAGGCTCATGAGTGTCCTGGGTTCAACCTATTAAAAGGGCCTGAGTGCAGCCAGGTCACCCACTGCACCATGTGCTCATCATGACCAGGAGAAGCAGAAGTGTGTAAAGTCAGTGACCTCCATCCCTCAAATGCTCTTTTCTCAGCAATTTTAGCATACATTGCTCCAAATCCGTGTAAGCAACCTATATGCTGTGTGCACTGGAGGGGGGTGAGGCTGCAGAAGTCTTGGTGGTCTGGCCATGTCCAGGATGCATGGTGCATATCAACAGAGTAGTGAAATCAGAGCAGAAGACGCTTCCCCAAAAATGGCACTTATATATCCATATATGTACGAGCACACATGTATAAAACCCCATTGTGAATCTACAAACCCCCTAAGGATGCGCAGGGGTTAGTCTTCATTAACATTTGGACAGAAAAAACCCTGCTTCCTCATCTTGTTTCTGGACACTGAAAAACATCAGCACTTTTTTTTTGCAACTTCTTGAAATACTTACAGCATGTGCTTGCCCAGCTTCCCTATGCACCCAGGGAATTACGGCAATACTGAAGACTGATGGAGCTGCCAGGAAGAGCAGTGGCACAGTTATGCCCAGGCCAGCAAACAGAGGAGCGTTTCCAGCGTATGCTGAAAATTCAGATTCTGTCCAAGTCTTTGGAGAGCAGATGTCAATTATGAATCACATGATTACTCTGCCATATTTTTCCTGGTTATGCTCATTGACTTAGATAAGGTATCATTTTTCACCTACAAAATATGTTGCATATACAATAAATAATATGCACAGTACCATAATAAATATTCAGTATATATGGTGTGTGCATTATAGTGGTCCTGGTAGAGTTATAGCAGAACAGTCAAGGCTGAATTGGCATTTTCATTATAAAGCCTGATAATTCAAGATCAGTAGCAAAAGACAATGAAATACCATCTGCTCACACGCAAACAGCTTTTACAGAGGAGGTTTAAGGTCTTGATGCAAGCAGTTCTGCATAGAGGGCAAAAAAAAAGAGAGCTCCTGAGACACTGTCTCTCACTGTCAAAACTCTTCACCTGAATTTGCTCCTACTTAGATGGCAGCTGATGCTTTTCCTAAATCTCTGGCTTATGGAGCCTGAGGATATAGTGAGCATCAGTTTTCTCACAGGAGGTATAAAGGCTATTTTGTATACTTTCTACCACAACAGAAAAGCTTGCAAATGCAAACTCTGCAACTCCACAACCAAAGTACAAATGGGGTTAAATAGGACTTCATGCTAAGGATGAGCAACACATGCTCAGCATCTGCTGAAGGCCAGGATGGTTTGGGCCTGTGCTGACCTCTCCCAGTGGTACCAAGTTCAGTAACCAGCATCAGGCCTGCATCTGCTCCCTTACAGTGGCTCCCAGGGCTAATTCAGGTGTGGCACATTACGTATTTTCAAAGATCTGGACTCTTTGTACTGAAAATCATTGTGCCTCTACCCACTACAGCCCCTTCTACCTTTAATGCCATTTCAGCTGTAGCTTCTAATTGACAGCTCAACCAGAACTCAACAAAATACTCCTCATCCAACCAATATCCCCTCCCAGGTGCCTTCCAACGGCTGCAGCCCATCAGGCAGAGGTTTGCACAGGAATGGGCTCATCTTGTCTGGAGGTGTTTGAAGTGGGGCTGCCTGGCCCCAGCTGAGCAGCTTTGCTGGTGGGTAGGAGGCAGTGGTGTTTTCCAGCAGAGGGTGTTAAAGAACAAGCAGGAGGTCTGGTGGTAGGTGGCAACCTCTTCTTTCAGCACAGCTGCTTGCAGAGGGCATGTCTGTTTACACCTTGAACTAATCACAGTGACAGCCAGCAGTGAAAACCTGGACGTGGGGAAATCCATGGGAATTTTGCCCAGGCTTTTCCCTCTAGCTGTTACACTCGTGATTTAAATGTATTTCTTCCACTATATGGTACCTTTCCCTCCAACCACAAAATTCATGAAGGTTTTTTTTATTTCATACCCAACAGGCACCTAAGCATCTTTGCAGTCCTATAGTGCAATAAAAGGACAGTGATGCTGCAGGGTGTAAATACAGGTAAGTGGAAGGACCCACCTCTGACTGTGTAACATCTCACTGGCCATCCTGATGTGTCTAACAGGTGAGTTCACCCCAGTTCTGTAATGCTGCCTTTGCTGGCTGGCTCTGTATTGATGATAAGTATTATTCACACATCATCACAGCCTCAGTTCGGCAGCTCTTCAAGCCTGTTTCCAAAAGAAGCTGTCACAGACAATAAACACCAAAGTAACCCCACTTCCAATTTAATTGTTTTCTCAAAATATCACTAGCAATTAGACTATATTAGCAACAGATTGTTTGCAGTAGCTCATTCTCTGAGTCAAAACTGGTTTCTTTCTCTTTTCCAATCACACAAACCGTCTGAAACTAGAAAGTACCTCGGTTGTTATGTTTCTTTTTCCAGAGTCAGAATCAAGTAAACAACCAACATTACTTCTACAAAAGCCAAAGTGTCTGGAAAACACAGGAGAAAAATATGGAATGGCTGGAATTTTTTTTGTATGTTTACAAATTTATTGTGAAAGTTTTAAGAAAATACAGTGACAGCACTGCCTGCAGTACAGAGGGAGTGACAGTTAATAAATAAAACTAAAGGACTGTGCAATAAATAAATACAAGACTAATATAATATGTTTGTAGTGGGCTGATCAGTTTTAAATCCTCTGCCTAAGGCTGACTTCTACAATAAACAAACCACGCCTGTGTGTTTTTCTCTATTGGTGCTTTGTGAGCCCATTTATTTATGGTTGGGCTCACCTTCTTCCCCACACATGAACTTTTTGCCCATCTCAGCTTTCTCTCCTATTGATAAAAATAAATCAACCCCCAAACAGAGTATATCACTGCCCAGAGGTAACATGCACCTACTCTCTTACTGATGGGGCATTTGAGCTTTACCAAGACTCACTGCATCAGCAGAACCATAACACATGTACACCAGCACTGATGGAGCTAGCTCCTTCATTATGTCATACACATGCCCTCCACTGAAGTATGCCATGCTGTGCACATCAAAATGCATCCCACGGTGTCCCTGGGGACTTCTTTTTTTCTGAGGCCAGCTTAGCCAAAGACAGCACATCTTTTTATTACCTTTGGTGGAAAACATTAGCCCTTTTAAGCAGCACTGCACGGCTGAGGGGGCTTGGAGGGCTCCAGACAAGCGTCTGCAAAACCATCTCTGGCTCAGTGGCTGTGATCATGAGCTAGGTAATTTGTTTGATTAGGACATCCGTCTAAGACAAAGAAAGTGTAGTGGAGTGAGTCGGGATCTGGTCTCATTTACAGGTCTGGAGATGCATGGAGAAGCTATTACAAGTAACCTGTGACCTGGCCCACCCTCAGGTGAAACGGCTTTGCCTAGTCACCTCCTGTTAGCCTCAGCCAAATGATAGGCTTCGGGGAGCCCAGGACGCAGCGACGATTTATCAGACAGACAATATCAGACCTATGGGCCCAGCCCCAAGCTATGCAGATGCAAAAGCAGATGAATTTAGAAAAAAAAAAAAAATAATGGGTTTTCAAACTTACTGTGATGATAGTGTTACTTGCAACAAATCTGTCTGCAGTTTTGGGGCTGCAGAGATAAAAGTCCTCAGGAAAAATGTCCGTGGCTTGAGTTTATTTATATGTAAGGTAACCATGAAAAATGTTGGTATACCACTAATTGTAGGACATATTTATTCTGCACAAGTTGTTTTCCACATTAGCACAGTTGTTAAAATGCAGTTTTGCCTCAGGAATATTATAACTTTATCTTCTCTAATTATAAATGTGGATGTTGCTGGGGTACTATACATTGAAGAAGAAATGTAAGAAATGGGTCCTGCAAGGAGGAAAACAATTAAACGTGTAATGTAGTAATTACATGAAACATACTCAGGAAGACCCGTGGATAAGCTGGCAAAGCAGCTACAGTGCGTTAGATCCTGGTTTTAGATTTGTATGCCTTCTCACTCCAAATTTCTCCCATGGTTTTCCGCTCAAACCAACTAACAAGGACCAGTTGGCAAGGCAAGAAGCATGTTACTCTGCCCTGTGCAGACACTACAGTGTAAAAGCAATTTTACTTTGAGCAACTAAAACCAGAAACCTGGAATGCAATGGCACATCGTAGTTATCATACAGCAAATGTTTAATGAACAACAGGATAAGAGCATCTTCTGATAAGGTAGGGAATATTTTAATTAAATAGCCAGTATTATGAAAATACCTGATGTCATTGATAAAATCATAACTCTGTATGCATAAGGCAGAGGACAGTAAGGGTCGCTGACCTACTGTGTGTTACAGGTAAAATACACAATGCACAAACACCTATTCCCTTGAGAAACACCTGGCAGTGAAGTTTTCCTTATGGAGCCAAGAGACAAAATTCAGACATGATTTGCTCATCTGGAGTAAATGCCCAGCTTGCCTGGGAGTCAAAGTTTTCTGAAGAAGGTTATCACTGAGAGTGGGGCCGCAGTGACCGCAGCCACAACAGCACGTGCTTCACATCGCTTCCACCGTTCCCTTTGGGTTACGTGCACCCAGGCACAGTGTTTGCACAATGTGGATACACACATACACATATTTATATCTTGGGACCAAGAATCTGTTTCTTTCCCATGAGAGGGGCCATTTAGTGGTGCAGGAAAGCACATGGTAGTATTTCAAGGTTTTCAGGTTTTCTTTTTTTCACTGA